CCTAAGGGCAATGTCTTCTTTTATCTTTAAGTCCTTTTGGTACAAGGCTATTTATAGCCCTCATGTTCTTCTTCTAAAGTTAATGGTCGAATGATAAAAAAATTTGTCCTATTGTTTGAGTTCTTGAGAGATCTTGAGAGTGCTTGGAGAGAGAGAGCGAGATCCCTAGGAGAGGGAATTTGGATCACCCACCAACCTTGGAGACGGTCGGGTTTGTGGTTTTTTTCGTTATCTATTTTTCTTTCTCCTCATCTCCTACCCAACCGTCCGCCTAACCCTACCTCACTCCAAGCTGGTGGCCACCTTCACCCCCACCATCCCTCCACCGAAAACTCCCCAAGTCCCCTCCACCTAGCCGCCGGCTCCCTTACCCAAACCCCAAGCAAGCTGCCGGCCCATAGCCCCTTACCCTCTCTTGGATTTATTTTCTATTCTAGATTGCCATAATTTTGGAAAGGTTTTAAATTCAAATTCACTCAATTTGAAATTTAAAATCTTTCCTAAAATTATAAAATCTATTTTAGGAAAGTTTCCTAAATTAAACTCCATTTGAATTTCAAGTTAATTGGAATTCCTTTACCACCTTCCTTATTTAAGTCAACTTATTTTTGGAAAGGATTTGAATTTGAAATAAATCAATTTTAGATTTCAAATCTTTCCTTTTCTCTTACCCTATCTTTGGAAAGGTTCTTATTTAAATCAATCAATCAAATCATGAAGGATTGATTAATTAAAGCCTTAATTCCAAATACATTGCATCTAGACACTTGGCCCCTCCCTCCAACCCCACTTGCCATCAACTTTTTCCTAAATGAGATCTCATAAATTTAGTAACTCTTGAGTGATTAAATTCAAATCAATTTGGATTTGGATTAGTTACCTAATTTATAAGTCTTATTTTTAGGAAACCTATTAACTCATCTCCTATTTAAATTTAAATCAAGAGAGGATGGGATATTTCTTTCCAATCTTGATTTAATAATTTAAGCATTAGTTACCTCATTAAATCCCTCCCTCCCTCTACAAGTCGCCGGCCCCCCTAGGATTTTGAATTGGATTTGTTTCCTAAAGCCACCTCCCCTCTTGGAAACAATTCAAATTCTTTCCCTTTTTCTCTTGGCCAAGATCTCCATGGTCCACCTCGATTTTTGCTGACAATTTTAGCCTCCCTCACGTTGAAAATATTTCCAAAATCTGGCCCATATCTAGACGCCTCCTCCCTAGCAGCTGTGCTAGGTTCTACTACTCCAAATTCCCTCTAAATCTCTTTCGGGTGATGCTTTCCTGCTCTCCAAGTTTGTTGCCAGAACTTCCTGCATCTACCCCTTGGTTTACCTCCAACCTGAAGGTTCACAAACGACTGCCTTAAGAGGACAGCTTGCTGTCCATTAGCTTCCGCCGGCGCCTTTCACCGTAGCACCATCGGAGAAGCTCCTCCTTATCCTCCAAAGTCAAAACAACGACATCTCGCATGGATGGCTGACCCGGAAACAGACTAAGTCCTTGTCTACGACGAGCACGGCTTCGTTCACGTCCTACAATCAACTTTCTTCGACGTCAACCCGAGGATCGATAATACTGCCGAGGAATACGTAGAACCCATCTTGGACACCTTGGTCGAGGAGATTGAAGAGCAACTTGGTACCGTCCAGTGGAGGATTGCAACCAATTCTTGACGAAGGTCTTCTAATCTTCCTCTTCTTGTATTTCTTAAAGTCTAACATCTTCCTTGTGATTTGATTTTAGTCATGAAGATCGTGCTTGCCTATTCTGCCAAGCTTAGTAAACGTAGGGGTTTGAGTGTACTTTTTTGTTTTTATTCTAATTGTTAGATTATAGATTTTTTGTTGAAAGCTATTCCATTTGCATGTCTTGATTCTCTATGTTGTTTTGATAATCCAAGCGCTTAGTATGCAACTTAGCCTAAACGGAAGAGACCGCTCTTATGTTTTATTTGATCGTTTTAATTTGCTAAGAGTTCTAATCTTACTTGCTCTTATCAAGGAATTGTGCAAATTTTTATTACATTCATTTTAAGCATTTAGTTCTACATCAAAAATCTTCATGAATCTATCAAATCACAAGAACAAGTTAGACAATGAAAATACAAGAAAAGGGAGATGGGTAAACCCTTATCACGGTTGAGTGACAATCCTCCACTAAACGGTGCCAAGTTGTTCTTCAATGGCTCCGGCAAGGGTGAAGGTGATTCGCTCTATGTATTCTTCGACGGTGCTATTGATCTCCGGGTTGACGTCAAAGAATGTTGATCGAGGAAGCCTCAGTTGTTGTAGACAATGTCGGAATCTCGTTATGGGTCAGCCATCCATGCAAGAAGTCGCTGTTTTGACTTTGAGAAGTGCTGGACAGCGGGGAGAAACCTTTCCGATGGTGGGACAGTGAGAGGAGCCGGCCGGAATTGATGGACATCAAGCTGTCCTTCTTGGACAACAGTTGAGGAAGTTTCTAGTTGACAAAAAACCAAAAACAGGTACAGGAATTTCTGGCAGTAGACTTGGAGAGCAGAAAACCCAAAGTCGGATGGGGTTTAGAATGGTGTTGTAGCAGAAAAACTTTGCTAAGATGATTGGGGAGTTGGTGGGTAAGAGGGGTTTGGGTTTGGAAATAATTCCAAAGTGAGAAGAGTTGATTTAGTGGAAAGAAAGAGGGTTAATTTTGGAAGGGGAAATAAGTGAGTGGGCCCTTGGGAATTTCGGCCAAGATTGGGAGGGGGGCCAAGTGTCTAGATGTAATGTATTTGGAGTTAAGGCTTTAACTAATCAATCCATCATGATTTGATTGATTGAATTAAATAAGAACCTTCTTCAAAATAGAATTCAAAATAGAATTAAGAGAAAAGGAAAGATTTGAAATTTGGAGTTACCGTGGGGAAGGGAAGCAGGGCCGACAGTGGGTGCGGGAGGAGGAAGGGGAAGAGATAGAAAGTAGAACCACGAACCCGACTCATCTGGGTTGTTGGGTGATGCACAATCCTCCCTCTCCTAGGAATCTCACTCCGATTTCTCAAGCTCTCATAAGAACTCAAAATAAATGTGAAAATTTTTATCATTCAATCATTCATTAGCTTTAGAAGAAGACATGCTCCCTTAATAAAAGGGTAAAACGAGAAAACAAATACACATAAATAATAAAAGCTGCATAACATAATAAAAGAAAACAAATACATAAAATGACTAAAAAATACATCTCGTTCGTGGCCGTAAACCGACCGCCACGCCTCTAATATACTTTTCATGCTCTGATGTCCCCATCAAAAGATTGCTGCACTTTATTTACAAAAGCATTTTATAAATAGCTAACATAGTTCAACTTATATTTGTAGCATCAATGGCCTGGAGATTATCTTTTGTTTGCTAACACCTATTGCATGTTCATTATGCTCCTCCATTTTCTCTTTTGTCCGAGTTTTGTAGCCTTCTTTTTCTCAATCCACAACTTTTTATCTTCTTTCTTGATATTGTGATGCTTTAAAGTTTATACTCTTTCTAACTTAAGTTCAGTTTGCTACCTTTTTGTTGCTTTTGATTTCAAATTTGACTTTGTTCTAGAGCTTCCAAGTTTTAATTGAGTAGATTTATGTTGATGAATATGGCAGATCAATATAAAGGCTTTTCTGTGGAACTTGATTTATGGTTTAAGGATGAGGCTGTGTTTTTGATGGAGTTTTAGAAGTTTGCGCTGTCCGAACAGCTAGGAAGTTGTGGTCAAAATGGATTCAGGTTCTTTTTTTCAGTGAGCAAAGTAGTTGTACATAAACAAATGCTTATGAGGTGCTTGATTGTGGGATTTTTGGTTTAGTGAGGCTCATTATTTGGAGAGTTTCTTAGCCTGAAAAGTAACTTCTTAGATAGTGAGATTCTCATTGTTAAAAGGAGAAGTCAGTTCTTCTGAGTGAGAAAAATTAATTGGGAGAGTGATATAATTTGAAATTGTAGCTCTCTTCTTTTAAAGTGAAGTACTCATTAATCTTATTTTCAGAAATTCTTGATTGAATCATTCATTTGAATGTATTCGAAATGTAAATAAAAAAAAAAAACAATGTTTAGTAAATAATCTAAACCTAAAACTGCTAAACGACAAAAATAAACAACCATCGTATGGTGATCTTTTGGAGCTGGCGCCCTGCTCCCTTCCCTACCGAACATGATTGCTTCCCAGTCCTTGGAGATATGTGCGTTGTGGGCTTAGGTGACCTATTCTCCTTTGTGTAGGCTTGGATTAACTAAGGTCTTCATCCAACTAACCATGTAGCATTCTTGTAGCTTTCGTTTAGCCGTTTGTGTTGATGTTGCTATTGATTTAGCAAGCCAAAGATTGTGCAGTTAGTTCATTTTGATGTAGCTGGCGTAGGATGTTGTAACCAACCCTTTTAAATGCAGCTACAATGCAATATGACCATCCAAAATATCACAGCGAAAATAAATGATGCGGTCGATTCAATTAGTAAGGCAACCCAACTGATGTATTTGTTAATTTGTAATCTCAATATAGCTTTTCATTAACCCTAGAAATAGTTTATGATTTGATGCTGATCCAGCGTAGCCGAGTTGTACATTAATCCTTGAAATAGTTTTGCATTAATCCTTCTAAGTTAGTTGTTAGAAATTTGTAAATCATTATCTAATTGTATTGTATGGTCCACATCTGTCCTAATGAAAATGTTCTGTTGCTTATTCGATTATAGTATTTATTTGTTTGAATCTTGTATCTACTTGTTGGCATTTTTTATAACTTATTTGCAACATTTTAATTATATATACTTTTTAATAATTGTATTATTTGATTTTATTCCATTTTTTGTGATATGTTTACGTTATTTTTTTCATTTTCTAATCTTTTTTTTTTTGCACTAAGTCTCATTTTTCTTCAAAAACTTTATTAGCATCATAAGTTGTCAGAAAAATACTGAGCCTTATTGAGAAAGACTTTCTTATGAGATTGATTAGCATTATATCGCATTATTCTGTTATGTGTTGCAGCGGCAAGGGCATTGGAGATGCTAAATTATGCCCCCCTCAACAATAAGCCTATTCGCGCGATGCATTCAAATCGTGACCCTAGTGCTCGCAAAAGTGGGGAAGCTAACATATTTATTAAGGTATGTGCGGTTAGCCTTTTTGTTTCCTACTGTTTTTCTGATTGGCTGGTTTTTAGATCTATTTACTTCTATAAGATATCGATTATACATTAATTTTATCTTTTTTTTTTTCAGAATCTAGATAAGGCAATAGACAACAAAGCTCTTTATGAAACATTTTCTACGTTTGGTACCATTCTTTCATGCAAAGTTGCCACAGATGCTTCTGGTCAGTCTAAAGGATATGGTTTTGTTCAGTTTGATCGAGAGGAAGCAGCGCAAAATGCAATAGAGAAGCTGAATGGCATGCTTCTGAATGATAAACAAGTTTATGTAGGACCTTTCCTCAGGAAGCAGGAAAGGGATAATTTCGCAAACAAGGCGAAGTTTAATAATGTATTTGTCAAAAACCTCTCTGAATCGGTGACAGAAGAAGACTTAATGAAATTTTTTGGTGAATATGGGAAAACTACAAGCGTTGTGGTTATGAAAGAGCCAGATGGGAAATCCAAGTGCTTTGGGTTTGTCAATTTTGAGAATCCAGATGATGCTGCTTTGGCTGTTCAGGAATTAAATGGGAAGAAATTTGATGATAAGGAGTGGTATGTTGGCAGAGCACAGAAGAAATCTGAAAGAGAACAAGAATTAAAAGGGAGATTCGAGCAGAATATGAAGGAGACTGCAGACAAATATCAAGGGGTAAACTTGTATTTGAAAAATTTAGATGATAGCATTGGGGATGAGAAGTTAACAGAGCTTTTTTCAGAGTTTGGTTCTATTACTTCTTGCAAGGTGTTTTTATTTTTGAAGAACCCAAATAATTATGTTTTATTTATTGTTGATCTTGTTGGCATATATGTTTAACATGGTAATTTAATAGGTCATGCGAGATCCTAGTGGTATAAGCAGGGGGTCAGGATTTGTTGCTTTTTCGTCACCTAAAGAAGCATCACGTGCGGTGAGTAAATATTCTCAATCTACACTTTTCACATTTTGATATGATCCATCATTTTATTCTTTCCCTCCTTAATATAGCTTGCAGAGATGAATGGGAAAATGGTTGGCATCAAACCTCTTTATGTTGCACTTGCACAGCGTAAGGAAGATAGGCGGGCTAGGTTGCAGGTAATTAATGCTAAATATGTTAAATTTCTATAATTTGATTATGATGGATTTTGATTTGTTTTTGGTGTCATAGAATTGCATTATACATGCCAGACTAATCATCTGGTAATGCAGAATAATTGTCTAATTTAAATTATGCTCATGGAGACATTGTATTATCTATCATCAATTGTGACTTTGTGGTGGAAGAAATTGGAAATAGAACTCCTCTTCATGTTAGTGGGCTGGTTGCTGATTATGTTGTTGCTATAATCATTTTATGAGTTTCTTGGTGATTGTAAGTCTTCTTTTGTTCGCTTGGCAGGGCTGAGATACATAAACGTAGTGTAAATTTATGGGTTGCAATTTCTACTTTTCATATAGAAGCCAAACTTGAATTACCACATTGGTAATTGAAGTGGTTTCAAGCAAAATTTGGAATTTTTGCTCGAAGCATATAGTATTTCCTCACTAAATTTAGGGAAAATAACCATTTAAATCCTTTTAAATGGAGAAGGTTAGCCTGGTATTTGGATAAGAATGCAATGTGGATGAGAGCTAGTTTTTCAAGTTTGTGTTGTAATTGCACATATGTATGGTTGTGAATATTTCCATTTATGAATGGTTATCTAGATTACAAATGCAGCTATTCATCCATGCTATATTACTAATGCTCTATTGCAGATGCAAATGCATTTCTATTTGCTTTTATAGATACATCACATTTATATGTCGAACAAACATTCCAATAAACTCAAAAACTTTAAAAACTAATATATTAATTATCTTATAATAGTACTGATATATTGATATATGACATTAATAATTGTCCCGCTATTTTTCTTAATATGTAAAATGGATATATTACTCAGTGTCTATGATAGATTGCAGTGCTAGTTTCTGAATTTATGCGGTCAGATATGCCAAATTAGGTTTTTCATTATATCTTTGGAGTATCCATAGTCTATTATATCCAATATCCTATCCCTGAGGCAGATGAAAATTTTGACAGATAATTGTGATTAAATCATGTCAAAAAATGGAGCTTTTAGGGGACTTTTGTTATTACTTTATATATTTTTTATTTATGTTTTTTATTTTCTTTTTGTTTGTATTTAATCTGAAATATAAATATACTTAATTTCTTAACTAAGTGTTTCTTTGTTTTTATTTAATGTTACATTAGCCAATGATGATGGATAGTGATGGTGGGAAGAAGCAACTGGTGGCTAGTAGTGACAATGACTGGCGGCCTGCAGTGGTTGGTGGTGTTTAAATAAATAAAAAAATAAAAACACCTAAAATTTGTTTTGAATATTAAAAAAAAAAGTTTTCAAAGATAAAAAAATAAAAGTAGCAAAAAAATACAACTCAAGCATAATTTTATAAAAATAAAAACTATGAAAAAAATGATATGAAACAACCTCTTAGAAAATAGAAATAACATAACATTTCAATTGAATGAATAGATAAAGAGAATTGGCAAGGCTAATTCTAAGTATTTGGGATAAGGTTGATGTTTATGATCTAGTACTAGGATATGGAAATGGTACTCGTATATAGGGCTGTAAATGAACCAAGCGATCAATGAGCTACTCATGCCTCAGCATGATAAGGGATCGTTTATGTTTGTTTGATAATGTAAGCAAACGAGCATGAACACTTTTGATAAATACTCGATAGCTAAATAAACGAGCTTGATCAACTTAGCGTTCAGCTCGTTTATGTTCACGAACAATATCGTTTAGAGCTCGTGAACAAGCTCGTTAAGAAGCTCAATTAGAGCTCAACTAAAAAGCTTGATTAGAACTCTTAGAGTTTTAAAAAATAAGTATTGTTAAATTTAATAATTTATTTTAACTAATTATAATACTATATATATATATATATATATACACAAATCCACTCAGTACTCAACTTTCCTGCTGTTCGCTTCGGCGGTTGAAAAAAATGAAAAAAAAGTTCCCACTCTGGCGCTCAGCTTTCCGGCTCTCCACTCCGCCATTGTTCCACACTGTATAAAACTTATGTATTTGCCTTATAAAATGGAACAAAATGAGCATGCATTTGAGAAGCGCGACAATGGGAAGACAGTGACAGATTGCGCGCAGGATTCACTGCTTGGTTCACCTGCGGTTCACAAATTTTTACCGTTCGCTGAGCTTGCTTGAATGACTTGTTAATGAGCAGCTCGTTAATGTAAACAAGTTGGATTGGTTTTCTTAAATATTGAACCGATGAGGGGTCTTACATACATAAAAAAAGCTTGTCTTTGTTCGAGCCGAGTTTGAACAGGGTCTAGCTTGACGATATTGATCTCGAACGGGCTAAAGTTCGGCTTGGCTTGGTTTGTTTGCAGCTCTACCCGTATAGAAGTCTTTGTGTTAGCTTAAATTTTGTGGCTGGTGTTGGAAGAAAACATGTTAATTGTTCTATAAACATTTCCTCAAGTAACACCTCTTACAGTACAGAAAATTTGAGTTGGAGACATTTTTTTTGCTCATCTAATCATTGCAAATCGAACTTAAGTGTCTATTTCAACTGTTTATTTAACCAGCAAAGACAGTTTTTTCACTGCTTGTTTATGATGTAGAGTTTTTTCACTGCTCGTTTTCTTTGTCCAAGGCCATTGTGTTTTATGATGTAGAAGTACTTTCTGGCATTTATGTTTTCCTGTTTTCCATTTAAGAGAATCTTTGTTTTTTATGGTTTTGTTTACCCCATGCATGACTTTGCTAATATGTTAATATCGTGAATTTTATTGACTGCAAGAAACTTTTTGTTTGCTAAAGGATCCTGATCTCCTATTTACCAAGCAAAACTACATGTGCATTATAGTTTGTCTTCAATATTTGAGTTTTGTTTTTCTGGTTTGCATTTCATTATTAACAGTTTTCATTTAGTGCATCTATCCTCTTGCATTTGTTTGAAGTTGCAAATGCACATGCAACTGCTTAATTTTGCATCATTTTCTTATGCTGTATTTGATATGTATTTCATGCATTTCATTTTTCATTTCTAACATAATGTAAAAAAACATGTATTTTCTCAACTTATTATGTATTTTCGTAATTCCTAGGCAATATACCATTTGAATGTTTCCATGCCCTCTACTCTTTTGAAGGCTTACAGCCCGGGCTGACAATATCTATTATTTTTAGGCACAATTTTCACAAATGCGGCCAGTGCCAATGCCTCCTAATGTTGGTCCTCGTGTTCCCATGTATCCTCCTGGTGCTCCTGGTATTGGACAACAACCATTTTATGGTCAAGCTCCACCTACGCTTATTCCACCGCAGGTGAAATATATTCTAATTTGATTATCTAATTGCTTGGTTCCGTACTTAAATGCATATTTTTTATGTGGAATATGCAGAAACCCTTAGTAATGTGGAAGTTGAAGGAGTTGCATTCCATTTATTATCTAAGGGCAGCTTTGTTATTGAAATGGTGAATTTTGCTGGGATTTATATGGTGAACATTTTAACTATTCTTAGGGGCTGTTTGGTAGCAGAATTTGATGAAGATTTAAGCACGATTTGACGTAAATCCTGCCAAACAACGAAGATGACAACTTCAAGTCCAACAGAATCTTGAATCCTGTGTCTTCCGTTTTGCCTTAAATACTTTGTTTAGTAAATCCAAGTATTGGATGGATTTAACTTAAATATGCGTTTTTGCTAACCAAGCAATTAATCTATTATTACTAATAAATATTAGTTAATTAAATATTTATTATATTAATTGATATTTTTTAATTTTTATTTTAACTTGTCTTAATATAAGTTATAATAATAAACCACTACATATTTTTTAGTTGAGGTGTTTAATGAGATTAATTATGATCTAATTAATCTAATTAAGATTGGTATAAACAAAATCAATATAAAAAGATTTCACAATCATGTAAATCCATTAAACAAACAGCCAAACAAGTTTTCTTGAGCTAATTGGATTTAGCACCTCAGGATTTAACCCCACATATGATTTAGTAAATCCGGATTTCTGAAATCCTACTTACAGACAAACCACTCCTTTAGTTCTGTGAAAGATGTGCTAAAGCCAAAATTGACCATGGTTCTGATGATTTTGATAGATGCAATTAGTGTTTCATTGATAATAGATTTGTTAACTTGGCACAAAATGTTTGAATTTGTGAATGTTCTCGAATGCTTTCCTATGATCAAGATTTAGGTTTAGCAAGAGCATTTTGTTTATTCTGATTTGTAATGTTTGTGCTAAACTTTTAGTTAGCATTTTAGGCCTTTTATTTACTGAGGCAGTTACTGGTATCTTGTTATGGGTATGCTACGGTAATTCATTTTATTTTATTTTATATATTTTTTAGAATAACTTATCATTTTTGTTTTATCTTTATAACATTATCCTGATGTTTCACAATGCTAGCAAGAGGCTTATATGTAGTTTTGCATGCATGGCTTCATTCATCTATATGTACATGAATATTACATAGAATAAATTTTGTTGGTGCATTATACATATTATTTATGCACTGATTATAATTCCTTTTTTATGAGGCAGTAGAGAGATGTTCCTCGTTTTTGTTTTTTTTTTACTGGGCTTTTCTTCACTCAATCAAATTAGTATTACTATACTTCTCAAGTGAGAAATTGTGTGTGCTTATTCTAGTTTTGGCTCTTGTTTCATTTGATGTATTGTGTTGTTTTGCTATATCGAGTCGTTGGCTTATTTATTCTTGTAATTAAGTAGGATATCAAATTAGGTTCTTCTATATCCATTGAGGTTCCTTAATTAATCAGCGGCAAGCATTAACAAATATTGCACTTGCAGCCTGGTTTTGGCTATCAGCAGCAGCTTGTTCCTGGGATGAGGCCTGGTGGAGCTCTGATGCCAAATTTTTTTGTGCCCATGGTTCAACAAGGCCAGCAGGTCCAACGCCCTGGGGGTAGACGCGGTGGAGCAGGATCTATTCAACAATCACAGCAACCAATGCCTCTTCTTCAGCAACAGGTGTGTGTTCATAGTTTCCTCAGTATAAAATTTTCTTGCTACATTGCCTAGATATTCTTTCGTTACTTCATAGTTGATTTATATTATCAATTTCATTTGCATTTCTGCTTGGCCATACTATCTTTTGTTGATGTTAAATTTAGCTGGTGCAATTTGATGGCTATTAACTTCTTTTCACCTTTATTTTAATAGCTCAGATAGATTTTATCTAAGATGATGACTTTTGTTCTTTTTATATTTTGTGATGTTTTACTGCCAAAATGTCTTTTACTACGCATTCCCAATTTGGATATATAGGTTAAATCTTGTTTATCAATTGGTATATTACCTCTTTCTTGAAACTGGCTTTAGTTGTTTCTTAGTTTCTTATCTCTCTTCTTGTTAGAAGGTACGAAGGTCAAGTTCTTACTTTTATTTCAAGGATAGGGGCTTTTTTGGAGTTTAGATCTTGGATTTTCTATGAATTCTTTGGCTTTTATAATAAACTAAACTAATTGTAGTGAATTGTGATTATAACTTCAATTCTTTTGATATTACGACACTTTTAAGTTTATGTCGAATAATCATGACATGTATCCTTTAAAAAGTTTTTAACCGGATACAATGACGAAAAAGGATTCATGTAGCCGACCCCACGCAGTGGGACAAAGGCTTGATGTCGTTGTTGTTGTTGTTGACACTTATAAGTTTCTTTTTGGATATATTGTAGATGCTTCCATTGGGAGGACGCTTATACAGATATCCTCCTAGTCGAAATATGCCCGAAGTTCCAATGCCAGGTGTTGGAGGAATGCTTTCTGTTCCTTATGATATGGGAGGAATGCATGTGCGTGAGACCTCTATGTCACAGCCTATTCCCATTGGAGCATTGGCTTCTGCACTTGCAAATGCATCACCTGAGCAGCAGAGGCTGGTATGTATCAGTTAAAAGATGATAAGCCATTTATTTGCGTTAGCCTCTTTTCCTGTGAAATATTTTGATTTGGGTGAATTTATTAGAGTGATAACTTGAGCCAGGATTATAGTTACCGGCAACTTCTAAATGCAATGATGTTGCCCACCAGAACTTTTTACTTGTTTTCCTTGCTAGATAATTCTCTTTCTATTATTTTCTAGCAATGACGTATTTAGTGAGATTATGTTAGACCGGTCCAGGCGGGACCGTCTTATGGGCGAAACAGTGGAACTCTTCCGCCTTCTGCAGATGCCGCGTGAGCCGCCAAAGTATTTTAAGAAGGATTTTTTAGGGATTTGGGAGGGGAATTGAATGTAGGGACTGTTTAGGGATTTTCTTTTGATTTGTATGCATTAAATACTTTGTTTTCCTAGGGTTAGAGCATCTTGAATTTGGCTGATTTTGGATCTCTTAGGTTTAGGTTTTGGGATCTAGATTCATCTAGAGATTAGGAGAGATCGATCCTCCTTTCGAATAGAGGAGCACTTGTATCTGGTTATTTTCTTCCGATCTATTTGATTCTTGCAATAAAATTATTGTTTTGTGATTTTCATTGGAGTTTGGAAGAGTTTTCTCGCTGTTTTTTTCTTTCTTGCTAGGATTCACTTGAAATGTACGAGTATTTCCTATCAAGATTAATCATAGCAGGAAGGTCCATTATTGTTTCCTTCTGATACCTTGAATTGCAACTTTTTACTATCATCCCCTTTCTTTTTATTTTAGTATTTGTGTTCTCTTGGTTATTAAAAGAGAAGAATAATACTAAGTTGAGTGTTGCTGAGATGAGGATGCTTAGGTGGATGAGTGGCTTTACCCTTAGAGATAGGATACGAAATGAGCATATACGTGAAAAGGTGGGAGTAGTTCCAGTGATAGATAAGATTGGAGAGAGTTATCTTAGATGGTTTGGCCACATTAAACGGAGGCCTTCTGATTACCCGGATAGGAAAGTTGAGGTATTAGATTTGACTTATGTTAAGAAAGGTAGAGGTAGACCTA